TTGCCAGCTCCTTTTTTTTTTTTTAATATTATTTGGATTTTTTTTTTTCCGGTGTTTTTGAGGCAGGGTCTCCCTGTAGTGGGGGCTGGCCTTGAACTCACAGAGATTCACCTGCCTCTGCCACCAAATGCTGGGATTAAAGGCATGCGCCACCCCGCCTGGCATCATATGAACTTTTGAACTAATGCAAATATTAACTATTCAACAACAACAAAAATACAGTAATTTAAAAGTTGACCAGAGGCAGGGTGTGGTGGCTTATGCCTTTAATCCCAGCACTTGGGAGGCAGAGGCAGGTGGATCTCTGTGAGTTCAAGGCTGGCCTGGTCTACATAGTGAGTTCCAGGCCATCTGGAGCTATAGGGAGACTCTGGCTCAAAAAGACAAAAAAAAAAAAAGGAAAAAAAATTAGCAAGATTAGCAAGTTAGATGGCTCAGAGGGTAAAGGCACTTGCCAAAACCAATAACTTGAGTTCTCTCCCCAGATCATCCCACGAAGTGGTGGGAGAGAACCAACTCCTCCTCCACAGAATCACTATGACATATGCCTGCTTTCATACACACACACACACACACACACACACACACACACACAAGCAAATAGGTAAAAAGAAAAATAAATATAAATGACTTTGTAAGCCAACCACAATGGTGGGTACCTATAGTCCCCGGACACTTGGAGACTGAGCAGTAGAATTGAAATTTAGGCTAGCCCAGCTACAAACACAACATAGTGAAACTGTCTCAAAAAGAAAAAAACAAGCTGGGTGTGGTGGTGCATGCCTTAATTCCAGCACTTAGGAGGCAGAGGCAGGTGGGATCTCTGTGAGATTGAAGCCAGCCTATTCTACATAGCAAGTTCCAGGCCAGCTGAGACATTTTTTTGAGATGACAAAAACAAACTACAAAAAAACTATATTGTCTGGGGTTAATTTTTTTGTGTATGGTAGGCTTTTTTTTTTCTCTTATGGACAACCCTTTAGTGCTTTTGCATTTTATTTTACCCAGACTGATGATGGAGGGTGGTTTTCATGCAGAGGCCTTTGGACTAGAGCATGATCATTGTAAATACGTAGTGAGTTACAATTTGTTTTTTCTTACAGGCACTTGATCAGATAGTGAAAATTCGTAGTTATCACACCAAAAGCCAATAAAATCAACTAGGTGTTGAAGAAAAAAAAGATCAGTATAAGGGAAAATATAGAAGCAAAGGTACTCAACCCCCATTTGCAATACTGAGGTTCTTCATACATTAATAATTTGGAGACATAACAGGGTGAAAAAGTTACTGTAGAAAGCAGCAAGTGTACTAAGGAAAACAAAAGTTGATTTTAGGTGAATTTCCACTACTGTCTGATATGGCCTTGACCCCTGGGGAGGTTTTTGGTTTTGGTTTTGGTTTTTTTTTTTTTTTTTTTGGTCTTTTTGAGACAGTGTTTCCCTGTAGCCTCAACTTGCCTGGAACATGCTGTGTAGACCAGGCTGGCCTTAAACTCACAGATATCCACCTGCCTCTGCCTCCTGAGGGCTGGTGCTTCTGCACCACCACGCCCAGCTCCTCTGTGGAGCTTTACAACCTAATTTCTTAGTTGTTTCCAAATCAACAGGAGCAGAGGACAGCAAGCCATGCACTCTCTTCAAGCCTCCAAAGTCTTGTGATTTTGATGCAGTTCTCAACTTAGAATCAGTCACTCTGTTTAGATGTCCTGTAGATTCAAACAAACATTGAATCACTCGTTCTTTTCTTTCCCCGAAGTCTATGATGAAGACACTAATCCCAGTATTAGGACTGACTGACGAAAGTCGAATTTGCCTAGAGCTGCCTTAGGGAAAACTTCAAGTCACTCAGTAGATAATGAAACAGGCTTCTCATGTATGCTCCATGGCTCACAACTAAGACACTGGCCACTAAGCTGGGGCACCACTGCCAGAATCCAGCTCAGAGCTGCTTTTTCCTAAAGGGAATATATGTCTGCTAAACATGTTTCCAGAAAACTGCTTGGAGCTTCCAGCAAAATGTCTTCTCTCTGACCTGATTTTTTCCAGTACGAGTTGACAAAATCGAAGAAATACTTCCCATGCATTTTCACCTGCTCTAGCATCTCTCCTCCAGGCCAGGTGAACATGGGGCAGCCATGTCTCATAGGTTGTTCAGCAGCTTGCCCCCTGTGACCCTGAGTTATGCTTTATTGCCATGTCTTTGCAAAATTTGCTTTTCTCCAAAATGCCATGCAGGTCTGCTTTGTCCTTGTAGATTGCTGGAGAAAGCATGCTCGAACTGCACATTGTTCAAAAACTGACCAGCAGCAGCTGCTTCCTTAAATTCAGTCTCTGAAAGGAGCTTGTCCCCTCCTTGTCTTGAAGGATTTTCTTCTTGTTACACCTTGTTTCTCCATTGCAGATGATAGTCATAGAGAAGTGTGACGTCTCCTCAGGCTGCAGTGCACTTAAGCTGGAACCCAGGCTGCTCTACACTGCCTGTGGTAGCTAAGTGGTTAAGAGCATTCATTGCCTGACCTTGCAGAAGACCTGGGTTCGATTCACAGCACCCATATGGCAGCTAACAATAATCTCTAATTCCAGTTCCAGGGAAATCCGACACTGTCTTCTGACCCCCACAGACATTGAATGTCACGGGTACACTTATATACTTGTAGGCAATACACTCATACACATATGATAAAAATAAATTTTTTAGAAAAAGATTTGTGGGCCTGGAGAGATGGCTCAGTGGGTAAGAGCACTGACTGTTCTTGCAGAAGACCTGGGTTCGAATCCCAGCACTCACATGGTAGCTATCATCTGTAACTCCAGTTCCAGGGTATCTGATACCCTCTTCTGACCTCCATGGGCATTTCAGGACACAGGTGTTTTTATATGCATGCAGGGCAATACACTCATACACATAAAATAAAAATAATAAAATATTTTTAAAGAAGATTTGTTTAGGGCTGGAGAGATGGCTCAGCAGTTAAGAACACTGACTGTTCTTGCAGAAGACCTGTGTTCAAATCCCAGCACCCACATGGCAGCTAACAACTGTCCGTAACTCCAATTCCAGGGGATCCAACAGCCTCTTCTGTCCTCTATGGGCATTGCACAACACGGATGCACTTACTTACATGCAAGTATAACATTCATACACATAAAATAAAAATAATAAATTATTTTTTAAAAGATTCATTTAGGCTGGGCGTGGTGGCACACGCCTTTAATCCCAGCACTCGGGAGGCAGAGGCAGGTGGATCTCTCTGAGTTCAGTCCAGCCTGGTCTACATAGTGAGTTCCAAGATAGCTGGGGCTACAGGGAGACCATGTATCAAAAAGACCAAAAAAAAAAAAAGATTTGTTTAATGTTATTTTATGTGTATGAGTGTTTTGCCTACAATTATGTATGTGCACCATGTGTGTCCCAGGGTGTTAGATCTCCTGAACTGGAGGTACAGATAGTTGTGAGCTGCCATGTGGATGCTGGGAACTGAACCCAGGTCCTCTGCAAGAGCAGCAAGTACCCTTAGTCTCTAAGCCATCTCTCCAGCCCATTTCCATTTTTAAAATTTTTTATTATTTTTATGTGTATGCATGTATTGCCTGCATGTAGGTAAGTGCACCTGTGTCATGCAATGCCCTTGGAGTTCTGAAGAGGGCTTCAGATCCCCTGGAACTAGAGTTATGGACAGTTGTTAGCTTCCATGTAGGTGCTGGGATTCAAACCCAGGTCTTCTGCAAGAACAGCCAGTGTTCTTAACCACTGAGCCATCTCTCCAGCCCCCCATTTGATTTTTTATCATATAAGAGTATGAATACACAACAAACTTTATGGTCTTAACTCTTTCAGTGTACATGCAGTGATATTAAATACATTCAGCAACTGTATTCAGCAAATACATAGGTGTGCACAAATCTTGAGAAGACCCTGTTTTCAATCCTTTTTAAAAACAACTTGGGGACTAGTAAGATGGCTCAGCGGTTAAGAACACTGTCTGCTCTTACAGAGGATCCCAGTTTGATTCCTAGCACCCACATGGTGGCTAACAACTGTCCTGTAACTCCAATTCCAGGGGCTCCAATGCTCTCTTCTGCCCTCTGTGGGCTCTGCATGACACTGATGCACTTATACATACATGTAGGGAATACACTCACACACATAAAATACAAATAATGAATAAAATATTTTTTTTAAAGTTTTTTTAAAGATTTACTTTATTTTTGCTGGGTGTAGTGGTGCATACCTTTGATCCCAGCCCTGGGGAGGCAGAGGCAGTCATGCTGGAATGGACGCCACATGGGACAGAGGGTAGAGAAAGTGGCTTGCCTGAAGTGCACCTCACTGGACCTGGTGCTTCTCTTCTCCCCATCCTCTCCTTCCCTTCTGCCTCCCTTTTTCTTTTTCTCTTCTTTGTCTTCTCACTTCTGAACACCCGGTAAGGAAGGGCAGCTGAGCACTCACTCAGTGGGGAAAACTTGGAGTTTTCCATGTACACTAACCACCCAGTCTTCATTAAGCTGAGGCTGGGCCACTCACATTGGGCATTAGCTGGTTGTGGTCAGAGTGTAGCCATAACACGTGACAGAGCAAGCAGGGAAGTCCCACTGTGAGAGTAGCGATGTCAGGGACCCCACACATGAATCAGAAATTAGTAAATGTTGAATTGATAGATGTTATATGAAATTGCCTCACTGTATTTCATTCCTAAGGCCTTTTTATTCCTTTTCTATGTTTTGCTTTTTAAAAATATTAATTTTTTTTAACATATACACATACTCTTGCATACTGGGTGCCTGTGTGTGTGATAGCATGTGTGTTTGGAGGTCAAAGAACAACTCAAGTGTTTGTTCTCTTTGCATGGTGGGTTCTGGGGCTCAAACTCAGGTTGTCAGACTTGCTCAGAAAGTGCTTTCACCCACTGAGCCATCTCACCCATCCCTCTAAGGTCTTTTTAAAGGAATTTCTACTGTATTTATGTGTAGTTTTCTGAAATATTTTCTAGTTTCTCTAGGTACTAATTTTGAAGTTGTTTAATAGAAATTGGAAGTCTCAGAAGACTCAGCTGAAAAAAATACCTTTCTCAGTCACTGAAGTACAGAGTCAACTTCGGTGTTCACTGTGGTCACGCGTAAGTCACCTTTGCTTGTCCCCCTTATATCTCAATTGATATTTAATAAGTAACCTGGAAACACTGATAATGTAGAGTCAAGGCCATGCATTTATTTGATAGGATTTCTTTCTCTTGCTTAACCCACTTAAACTATGCACACCTTCTAAATTTAATCAGAGGAGAACATCAGTTACTTGTAAGAGAAATGCAGATCAAAAAATTCTTGTTCTCTTTACCTAAAGAAGTGAATGTATAGATCCAGTTTTAAATTTGGAATCTTGGTCAGGCCTCCTGGCACAGCCCTGTAAGCTCAGCTACTGGGGAGTCTGAGGCAGGAGGACCACACATTCAAGGCCTAAACTGGTTGACCTAGTGAGACCCTGTTTCAAAAGAAAAAAAGGAATCTTTTTTTTTTAAATTTAATTTTATTTTTTATTTTATGTGTATGTGTTGTATTGCCTGCATGTAGGTAAGTGCACCCATGTTGTGCAATGCCCATGGAGGTCAGTAAAGGCTGTTGGATCCCCTGGAAATGGAGTTAGGGACAGTTGTTAGCTGCCAAGTGGGTGCTGGGATTCAAACCTGGGTCTTCTGCAAGAACAACCAGTGTTTTTAACTGCTGAGCCATCTCTCCAGCCCCCTTTTTAAATATTTTTATTTTATGTGTATGAGTGTATTTCCTGCATGTATGTGAGTGCACCCGTGTCATGCAGTGCCGCAGAGGTCAGAAGAGGGCTTTGGATTCCCCTGGAACAGGAGTTAAAGATGGTTGGTAGCCACCATGTGGGTGCTGGGAATTGAACTTGGGTCCTCTGCAAGAGCAGTCAGTGCTCTTAACTGCTGAGCCATCTCTCCAGCCCCCCCAAAAGGAATCCTAAGGCCAGACATTGTAGCACACACTGATAATCCCAGGACTTGAGAGGCTGAGGCAGAAGGGTCAGGCCAGCCTGGGTTTCACAGTTAAGACCCTGACTCATTAGAAAAAAAAAATTAAAAAGGCATCTAGGGGCTGGAGAGATGGCTCAGCAGTTAAGAGCATGACTGCTCTTGCAGAGGATCCAGGTTCGATTCCCAGCACCCACATGGCAGCTAGCAACTGTCCTTAACTCCAGTTCCAGGGGATCCAAAGCCCTTTTCTGACCTCCATGGCATTGCATGACACAGATGCACTCACATACATGCAGGCAATTCACTCATACACATAAAATAAAAATAAAATATTTTTAAAAAGGCAACTAAATTTATATCTCAGCATTTCTTCAACATGTGAATTATCACCCCAAGAAGCACTTTCTTGGATCGTGTTTACTTTTATCAGGCCTTCATTTCTAGTGTGGTTTCTCCGGACCCAGTCTGATACCACGGCAGACACTGCAGGTATCTTCATGTGAACGTGAATGTCCTTCAATCTCAGAAGGCAGGACAGCCCCTGCTTTCCTCCTCCTTGCACTCCTGCCCTCACTCATTGCTGGGACTTTACTATTTCATACATTGGGAGACTTGATGAAACCAGAACATGAAGCCAGTGTCTGACACCATGAGCTCTTTGCGCATTGTCCAGTGCTGATCCACTTTCATTTTATTGATTGTTCCCTTCCCCCAGAAGCAGGTTCTTCATCTGTGTGGAAGGCAGAAAGCGGACACCAGCGTGACACACTTCACCTGAAAGCTAGAGGACTGTGATTCCCTTAAGCAGCTTTTCCTACCCAAGGCGAGCAGAAATGCAAAGTTTATTTCCTAAGACACGCATATTTTGTTTTCAATGAACCATTTTTGTGTGTAAGAATATTTTCATGTATAACAAATGAGCCCTTACTGTACACACGTTTGGAACTGTGCTAAAATGAAAAACAAGACTTCTTGTAGAGATGCAGATACCACTGAGTACTGGAGAACTGTGTGTGTACAGTGCCGCTTCAACTGGCTGCCTTAAACTGGGTATGCATTTACATTATAACCAGTAGCTTATCAGTCAGTTCCCAATATGTGAGAAATAGTCTCGTCTTATGGTTTTAGCACTGAACTTTGCTGTGTTGATGGACATGAGCTAAGAGGGTATAAAATGTTCCTAATGGGACAATATGACCTTGTTTGCTGGCAGTTGAGGTCCATCCATCCTAAGGTAACAGCTGCATCTTGTCTGAGTCTGTAGTAGTTAGTTTACTTACACAAGCCAAAGCTTGCTGGAAGATCAAGTTTTATATGGATTTTTTTTATATTGGAGACTAAAACTTCCATTTTAACTTGTAATTTAATTTTTTTAAGATTATACTATGTGCCTCTCTGACCCTTCTACCAGAATTGATCAGTTTCAGTCAATAAAAATTATTTTTAATAATAAAAATATTTTTGTTTCTTTTTATTATACAGGACTAAAACAATGAACTTTTAAAAAATATTTTATTATTTTTATTTTATGTGTATGCATATATTGCCTGCATATTTGTAAGTGCAGCCTGTGTTGTGCAATGCCTGTGGAGAACAGAAGAGACTGTTAGATAACCTGGAACTGGAATTATGAACAGTTGTTAGCTGCCATGTGGGTGCTGGGATTTAAACCTGGGTCTTCTGCGAGAACATCCACCGCTGAGCCATCTCTCCAGCTCCCCAAAATGGAACTTTAAACAGAACGTGGCAAGTTAATTCCCCCAGGAACAGGAATGAGTTTTCCTAAACTCTACAGATATCAGTTCTATTGTGCTGGCTCAGTACCCCTTTGTTAGAGGCTTCAGGGTTTCTCCAGAAAAGCGTCTCATGAAACATGAATGGCTGCACGGCTCCCCTTTCTAAGTAGGCTGCTGAAAAGAACCGGCAAGGTTCCTGCGATCTAAGTACTTGCTTTCTCCTCAAGCTGGCTGTGCCAGCAAGAATGAGAAAGGTGGGGTCAGTTCTGAACCAGAGCCTGCCTACTAGGAAACCCAAAGTGCCCCTGGAGAAGCAGCTTCCAGTATGAGAAGCAAAATATTAAACTTTCTCCTTCTCTGCTTCTCAACTTGCCTAGTGAAAGGGACACTGATTAGAAGCTAAGTAGGAAACTTGGGGCAGCACACAAGCTAAAAGAATTCAGTTATCTGATAGCTAAGAGTATTCTTAGCTCATAGGATGGTAGTGTCTACAACACCTTTTCTTTCTTTTTCTGTGAGACAGAGTCTTACTATGTAGTCCAGGCTGGCTTGAACTTGTGATCTTCCTGCCTCAGCCTCCCAAGTGCTGAGACTTGACAAGAGTATAATACCATGCCCAGCTGTACAATACCTATTCTTTTTTTTTTCTTTTTTTTTTTGGTCTTTTTGAGACAGGGTCTACCTGTAGCCCCAGCTGCCTGGAACTCACTATGTAGACCAGGCTGGCCTTGATCTCACAGAGATCCACCTGCCTCTGCCTCCCAAGTGCTGGGATTAAAGGCGTGTACCACCACACCTGGCTGTACAATACCTATTCTTAAGAAAATTATTATAAGTTACTTAACATGCAGTTCAGAACCTCTGATTTTAATGTGATCAAATTCCCTGTCTCAACCTTAATTTGTTTGTTTGGTGGTTTGGTTTTTTATGTGTATGAATGTCTAGCTGGCATGTATCTAATGTTTGTAATGCCCACAGAGGCCAAAGAGGGTGTTGGATCCCCTGGAACTGGAGTTACAGGTGGTTGTGAACCACCATGTGGGTGATGGGAATTGAACTCAGGTCCTCTGCAAGAACAGTAAGTGCTCTTAACTGCTGAGCCACCTCTCCAGACCCCTAGTTTGTTTTTTGAGACAGGGTCTCACTATGTAGACCAGGCTGGCCTCAAACTCAAAAGAGATTTGCCTGCCTCTGTCCAAATTGTTTTTTATATAGGAACAATTCTTCATACTATATTGGAGAGAGTTGCAAGATGAACTAAACTTTAGCTTTTATATTTTGTCATTATTATTCTGAAAACCAACTTATCAGGAGGCAACTGAATCATACTATAATTTGCCTGCCAGAAATGATTTCAGCATTGGAAAAGACTGTACAAAGTATTTTTAGAACTTGTGAACACAAATAGAAACACCACCAAAGAATAATTCTGAATCAAGATAATATGGAAGCACTAAAAACAGTTTTACTCAAAAGGTGCCATGAGAATTCTTAGAACTGAGACTGTGTGGTGTGAGGCCAAGGATGGAACCTCACCATACTGGCTGATGATGCACAGGTTTGTCATTCTGCTTTGTGAGTCTCCCTCTGGGGCAATGCCTGTAGCTTCCTTTCCTAAGACATTCTATTAGGGTACATTGCAGAGAGGTTCATCACTTAGGCCTTCAGGAGAATAATACTAGTTAGCAACTCCACATGCTAGAGAATAGAGTGAATAAGATCAGATGAAGATAGCAGATGCGTGCATCAGGATTGAGCTGACTAAGTGGCTTAAAACCAGGGTAGCCTCCCAGAAGAGTTTGTCAAATGCAGAGTGCCTATTGATCAGTCCTGTAAAGGAGGACCCCTGAGTTCTCAGCCAAGAGATACTTAAAAAAAAAAAAAAGGTGGGCAGGCCTAGTAGTACAGTCTGTCCCCAGCTACTGGGGAGGCTGACGTACAGGGCCTGCTTAGACTACAGAGTGAGTTCAAGTCCAGCCTGGACAACTTAGTGAGACCCTGTCTCAAAAAGTAAAAAAGAAGGTAAGTCATTGTAGAGCACTTGCCCACATGCACAAAGCCCTAGGTTCAATCTGAGTACCTCACACACACAAATTCCTTGTGAGCACACAGTGCTGATTTGTTGGCCAATGGAGACAACAGTGCAAACCTTTCTTACGTTCTAGTAGAGAACACAGACCTTAAATAATCATGTGAAAGACTGGTAAGTGCTGTGACATGGAGCTTGAGATACTGTGACAGTGTAAATAGGGCATAGGTCAGGATGGATAGTTCAGCCAAGGCTTCCCTGGGGAAGTTGTGTCTGAACCAAGAGTTGAGAGATGATCAGTTGCTAACCAGGCAAACAGGAAGAGAATTCTAGATGCTGGTAACAGCATGTGCAAAGTCCCTGAGGTACAGGAAGGAGTGTGATGCATATAGACTTGATAGTCCAGGATGGTGAAAGATTAAGCCAGAGAGGGGCTGGGCTGGATGGCACATGTGTCAGTGATGCAGTGGGTATTACAGCATGTTCTTTCAATCGGCCCAAGAACATAAACCCCACTGTCTTCTGGAGTTCCCCAAATGGGGGCTAATTTGTATCCTCTAGGGGAGGGAGATTAAATAACCATCAGAGTATATCAAAAGGGCACCTTGACTGTAATGAAAAGGAGGATCCCAGCAACTAGTGACACCTGGTTATGGATCAAGCCTTTCTCCTGAAGTAGTTGTGGAGATGAACCTTAACAACTAAGGGGATGAAGTTTGCATCTTTGTGTCTCCAGGAATGCCCCTTCATAATAAGCTGTATGGTAAATTATACCACTTTATGGGGCTAACTTATTTTCAGCCCTTTATTTCACACCTATTTTTAAAAATTAATTTGTGTGTGTGTATGTGTGTGTGTGTGTGTGTGTGTGTGTGCGCCATACCATACATATGGAGGCCAGAGCACAGCTCGTGGGAGTCAGTTCTCTCCCCCGTGTGGGTCCCAGGGATTAAACTCAGGTTATCAGCCTTGACAGTAAGTGTCTTTGCCCACTGAGCCATCTTGAGGCCCTCACACTCCTTTTTTTAAAAATAATGGTCATGCACCAAGTGCTCTGCTAGGTTCTGAGAGCATTAATACAGAGCAGCCTTGCCCTACAGCAACTCAAAAAACTCACAAGCAGATACATAACTTGCAAAAGGCATCAGGACAATGGGACTCCTGATCATCAAAGACCAGCACCAGTTTCATATAGTCAACGATGTGCTTGTTCATGAGCACTGGCTTTGAAACCAGGCAGATCTGTGACCACATCCTAAATGTACCATTTTGTAATTATGTGAACCTGGACTGAACTTGGGTATCCTCTTAATCTCTCAGATTCTGTTTCTTGGGCTATAAAAATGCCACCTAGAGCCAGGCACATGCCTTTAATCCCATCACTTGGGAGGCAGAGGCAGGCAGATCTCTGTGAGTTCAAGGCCAGCCTGGTCTACATAGTGAGTTCCAGGACAGCTGAGGCTACAGGGAGACCCTGTCTCAAAAAGACCAAAAAAAAAAAAATCCACCTAAACTTTAAATGAGATAGTGCTGACCAAATGACCACTGTGCCTAATGATCTCTATTTACTGAGAAGACACAATTGAGCATGTTATGTCACTGTGGCAGATGTTCTACACCAAGAGGGGTTGGGGCCTCTTGTCTATGTGTGAAAGAAACAGCATAACTCTTTTGTCCCATGTGGGAAAGGAGTCTGAGAAAAAGCTGGCACAGAGCAAACCAGCCCTTTTGTTGAGTTCTTTGACCATGGCTAGTTAGTGATTTGCTGAGGATCACAGATGAAATAATACTTATAAAGTGTTTAGCCCCATACCTGGCAAATAAGCATTCAATAAATATCAGCTGTTGTTACTCCATTGTTATTCTGGCAAAGAAGCTTTTCAGTGATATTTATTAGATAAAACATGGCTAATCTCTTAATGGAGAAGAGAGCCTTGTCCAACTTTCAGGTATTCAGTGTCAGCTCTTGAACCCACAATGAGGAATGAGAGATGGCAAAGAAAGGGTCCCTGTTTTGAGAGAGCTTCAGACAACCTGGAAGACAATGGTCAGGTGTCTAATTCAAATCATTTCCTGTGACAGACAGACAGGTGATACTTGCTTGACCTCAAAATGCAAGGGAGGCTTTAGCCCCAGCACTGGGAGGCAGAGGCAGGCGGATCTCTGTGAGATCAAGGTCAGCCTGGTCTGAGTTCATAAGTGAGTTCTAGGCCAGCTGGGGTTATAGGGAGACCCTTGTCTCCAAAAAACAAAAACAAAACAAAAAGCAAGGGGACTGTAGGGTGTGATGCAGGCACTTGTAATGCCAACACTTGGGAAGCAGAGGCAGGAGGTTTGACCAGATGTTAGGCAGTAGGATCCAGTTGAAGCCTATTCTCAGCTACAGAGCAAGTTCAAGGTCAACCTCAATAATGAGAGACAGAGAGGAAAAAGAAAAGAAAAAGGAAAGGGAGAGTCTGTGGTAGGTCTGTGGGATGACTTCATGTCTGCTTTCCCGTAGAAAGCCAGGAACAGCAGACATGAAGATACCATTCCAGATCAATGTGGGGAGAATTGTTTTTTTTTTTTTAAATACTTTTATTTTTTGTGCATGAGTGTATTGCCTGCATGTATGTGAGTGCACCCGTGTTGTGCAATGCCGCAGAGGTTAGAAGAGGCTTCGGATTCCCCTGGAACTGGAGTTAAGGACGATTCATAGCTGCCATGTGGGTGCTGGGAATTGAACACGGGTCCTCTGCAAGAGCAGTCAGTGCTCTTAACCGCTGAGCCATCTCTCCAGCCCCATATAATCATTTTTATACTCCCTTCCCCCTTCCCCTTTGGCACCTCCCATAGCCCCCCCACTGGAATTCATACATTCTGTCATTTGTCTTAAGGCCTATTATGTAACGTTAGTGTCCAGAGATGTCCCTCAGTGCGAGTTCATCCACCAGGGTTTAGTCAGCCTATCTAGAGTCTCTCTCTGCAAGATCAGCTCTTCCTCACCCAGCAGTAATCAGCTGCCAATAATTCTTCAACTAAGATTGGGGCCTGCTGTTCATTTCCACAGTTTGGTGCTGGGTTTTTGTCTGCCTAAGTTTGTGTGGGTCTTGTGCACGCTGACACCGTTTCTGCTCACTGACCTTTTAAAAATGTATCTTATAAATGTAGATATAAAATGAACTATGTTCAGTACTTATATTGAATAACTGCATTTTCTAATTTTATATAGCATATATATATGGAATAAGTGTTTTTTAAAAAAATCAGTGCAAAATGGGCTGGAGAGATGATTCAGCAGTTAAGAGAGGCTCAGTGTTGAGGGGCTAGGGAGATGGCTCAGAGGTTAAGAACACTGAATGTTCCTGCAGAAGACCCAGGTTTGAATCCCGGCACGCACATGACAGCTAACAACTGTCCATAACTCCAGTTCTAGGGGATCCAACAGCCTCTTCCATCCTCCGCAGGCATTGCATGACATGGGTCCACTTACCTACACTCAGGCAATACATGCATACAAATTAAATAAAAATCATAAATAAAATATTTTTTAAAAGGAATATAAAGTTTTGGGTT